GGGTTGGGTTCCAGGTTACCAATAAAGCAAATCAGATGAAATTTTAGTTTCTCAGTGTATATGAAAGTTATGATTGCACTGTACTGTAGTAGTCTATTAAGTATAATAGCGTTATGTTTAAAAAGCAATGTATATATCTTAAAAAATACTTTAGCCTGGCTGGCATGGCTCAGTGGTTGAATGTCGACCTATGAACCAGGAGGTCACAGTTCCTGGTCAGGGCACATTCCTGGATTGTGGGCTCGATCCCCAACAGGGGGCAGGCAGGAGGCAGCAAATCAGTGTTGATGTTGATGCATTGATGTTTCTATCCCTCTCTAAAATAAATAAAAACATTAAAAAAATACTTTATTGCTAAAAAATGCTAACCATTATCTGAGCCTTTAGTGAGTCAACCTTTTTGTTGGTAGAGGGTCTTGTCTAGATGTTGATAACATCTGTGAAGAAAAGAAAAAACTTCCGTGAAGTGCGATAAAATAAGGTATGCACGCTCTTATCTTGGTGTGCACGTCAATTTACATATGGTGAGTTGGATTTACTTTTGCCAAAAGGTAAAAATGGAGCATGGTGTCTTCTGCCAAACCAGTTTTGCTCCCTGAGTATTCTTAAGCTTAAGCGCCACTACCCTATAAGCCATTTATTGTACTGGGGTAGTCATTAGTGCTGTTTATCAAGTATAGTCAAACCTTGTTTCTCCAATGTCTCCAGTCTCAAGTCAGTTCTTGACCAAGTTGTTCACAGAAAAAAAAAAAATTTCAGTTGTAGACCAAATTTAATTTTTGACCTAACAGCCCTTTCATACTGATACCTCAGCATGACAAAAAAACAGCATGACAAAAAGCATCTCTCAGGCAATAGACAAAGGAGATGATCCTTTTGTTGCTGGCAGAAATGGAGGATTAGCACAACTTTAAAACAAAGAGGCCATCAAGAGTACTAATGTTGCTAAGGGTGTGAAAGTGCTCACAAAACAGCAATTACAGGCAAATGAATAGGTAGGAAAACTTGTTGATTGGATAAGTGAAAAGCAGCTGGGAGGCAGGGATATATGAAAAATTTGTGTAAGGCTAGTAGGATGTAGTTCAATAAGTTTAAGGAAAAAAGTGTTTATAGGTTAAACAGTACATTAGACATGTACATAAGAAAGGTTAAAACTGAATCATTTGAGAGTCTGGAGAGGATTAATTCAATTTACATTATTTCTAATAGGAGAAAACGATTTGGTTTTCGAACAAATCATTCTCAAACAGCCTTTAGAAATGAATTAAGTTCAAGAACTGAGGTTCCACTGTATTTCCAATTTCCAACTTTCCAGTCCCTGGTCTTTTGCGATCAGCTGGACTTATAGGACTCATCTTTTGGTAGCGTAGTACATAAACATATAGTTGGTATTTTGTCTCTGACTTCAGGCAGTTTCATGTGCCAGTAGCTGTCCTTTCTAGACATTTTCTTAACTTCGATATATTTTCTCATTCAGATGCTTCTGACTAATTTGAGGTATTTTGAACTGTTAACTGGAGAGCTAGCTGTACCTTACATCTCTTCCCCAAGCAGTTTAGTTTAATTGAAATGGTTTCCTGGGTGCCACGACCTTATCCAGGCTTTTGCTCTAAAACTGATTTTCAGCCCTAGCTGGTTTGGCTCAGTGGATAGAGCCTGTGAACTGAATGAAGGGTTCCAGGTTCAATTCCAGTCAAGGGCACATGCCTGGGTTGTGGGCTCGGTCTCCAGTAGGGGGTGTGCAGGAGGCAGCCAATCGATGATTCTCTCTCATCATTGATGTTTCTATCTCTCCCTCTCCCTTCCTCTCTGAAATCAATAAAAATATATTTTAAAAAATAAAATAAATAAAAAATAGATAAAACTGATTTTCAATCTTTCTCATCTCATGGTACATGTAAACTAATGACTAAAATTCTGCAACACCTCAAAAAATACATTTTTTTGCTGACCTGAAAAAAAAAAAAGGTATAATTTTTATTCATTTACACTGGACAGCTATTGTTGTGTTGGCTGCTATCATTTCTTTATTTGACAATCGAAGGGAAAAGAGGTCAATGCCCCTGACAAAATAGGTATGGCATGTTTTAAAAATCCTTGGTGGCGTACCAGTGTGCCAAGGCACAACCGTTGAAAATTGCTGCTCTTAAATAATCTGCTCAGAGGCTTCAACAACAGACGTGATGGCCATACCATTGTTTTCATCTTTCCTACAAGTCGTTGTCCCTGTTTGCCTAGCCAGGGGTATTTTCTGGGATGCAGGACTTGTGCTAAAACTGGGACACTTCTGGGCAAACCAGGACAGTCTCTCTACCTACAAAACTGAGTTTGCATTGGTGTTTGTCATCCCAAACATTTCTGAATTTTATCTATTTCCAGTTAGGGATGAGAGGCAGTTGCTTCTGAGAACCCTGCAGGATCACTGATTTTCTGTAGTCTCTCTAGATCCCTTGTGCCTGCTTGCAAGCTCGTCAGTTTTTCTCTGAGCTCGACTTGTGGCGCTTTGTCAATAGCAACCAACAGTATTCGATTCTCTTGTTTTGTTTTTGTTAATCCTCACCAGAGGATACTAGTATTTTTCCCATTGATTTTTAGAAAGAGTGGAAGGGAAGGGGTGAATCAGAGAAACATCAACATGTGAGACACATCGACTGGTTGCCTCCCGTACACACCCCAACCAGGGCTGGGGATAGAGTCTGCAACCGAGGTACGTGCCCTTGATCGGAATCAAACCCAAGACCCCTCAATGCTCGGGTGGATGCTCTAACCACTTAGCACCGGCTAGGGCCAGTATTCAATTCAAGCTGCTAAAATTTGTTCTCCTAACTGTAGATAAATTAGATTAATGTATGTCTTGTAAGTTACTGCAGGCAACGGTTTTACCAAATACTCTGCTACTGGATAAGATGGGTTGCCATCCTTCCAGCTTCCAATAAGATCTCTTTGCTTCCTTCCAGATAAGTTAAAGTCACACATACTAGGGTTTTGTGGTTCATTTTTTAAAAATATTTTTTTATTTTTATTGCAACACTGCCCTCTAGATTCCAATCTCCGCCAGGTCCCTTGAAACATATGCTGTGCAGATGTTTCTTCCCTGCAGCAACTGTGTCAAGCAGCAAGGATGGACCGGCTTCCGGCACACTCCCATGAAGCAGAATGGGGCCCTAACCAAGGGAATTCCCTTCCCCTTCACTACATCTGCTTAAGGGAACAGCACATTCAGATATTTCCAAGTATGAATTTTAAATCTACTGATTATTAACGTGAGGCCTTAACTCTGGTGCCACCTTTTCATTTTACTACAGAGGGAACAGAAGGAAACGCAGTGACTTAGGCAATATCACGGAACTAATTGGTGGTCCATTCCCAATATGCAGCCCTTTCTTCAACATCATGGTTTCTTTTTCCTTTTTCATGGACTCTTTGGAATGCAACGTAACAAAATACATCCACAATGCGCTTTTCCACCCCTGAGGTAATTCTTACGCAGGCACAAGTACGAGCAAGTTGTGAGAAGCTTCCCTGTGATGGGGAAGATTGAAGGCTGTGGTTTCCCCGAGAGCCTTCCTTGTTGTCTGGCCAGCTCACTGCTGTCTTGGCATAACCTTGGCAGACTCATTTTCCTCATGTTTTCGGGGAGATTGAGTGAAAAATGGAATAAGCTTCATTACCACTCGTTTGCAGTGAGTAAGAAAAGGGAGAGAAAAGCCTGCTCCTCCCTGATTCATCCTTTCCTCTTTTTTTCCTTTCCTGTTGTTGCCACCACATTCCTGATGTCATTCCTGCCATTGTGAGCCGGCAGGCTGGCCCGCCCTCCCGGTCTGGAGGACAGCCTGTAAGTCAGGAGGAGAGGAGGAGCTGTGGAGGTGGGGGGTGGGCAGCAGTGGTCACACAACATCTTGCAGTCGGGCTGGGTCTGTGTGAAGCCCCAGGGATGTTCCCCGGCCCATTCTTCCCAAGAGTCAATGAATAAAATCAGGGGCCTCCCTCCTGAGGTCAGGGAACCAGGCCCTGGAGTGGAACTTGGGGTGGAAGATGGCCTTCTTTGTCAACTGATTCATTCTCCAGAATTCAACTTGTTCTCCCACTCTGCGGTGTTTGAAAGCAACTTTATCCAGGTACCCATGTGCAGCTCAGAGCTCTTTCCCTTCCCAAACCCTGTCTCCAGCACTCGGTCCAGAAATGCTGTGGCCTAAGCCCTGGGGAGGAGGAAGAAGCCATGCCAGCTGGTGATACCGGAGGATCTGGGTCTCAAGTTCCCCTGTTTGTGCCTATAGCAGTATGGGGTTTTCCTCTCTCTCCTCCCCTTCTGGAACTTTCTTTGCACAATCTCCCTTCCAGACCATTAGAAACCTGTGCTGGCTTCTTCTACCCAAGGATGGAAGAATAAAATGTTAGTGCCCCCCAGCTTTTTCTTACTAGTGCATCCTTTCTAAAGTCAGATGATGCAGAGGACTCGAAAAAGGACAACACAGCGTTCCTAATGGCAGTGAGCTTGTCTACTTGGGGAGAGCCACAAAAAAGGTGATGCGGGTCATGGCCCAGCCCAGTGTACTGAACACATGTAAGAATCACAGGTGCACCCAGCCAGTGTGGTTCAGTGGTTGAGCATCCACCTATGAACCAGGAGATGCACAGTTCGATTCCCAGTCAGGGAACATGCCCCAGTTGTGGACTCGATCCCCAGTGTAGGGCCTGCAGGAGGCACAGGTGCTCCAAGCTTGTCACTAAGTTGAAGTGCTGCTTTCTTTATCTTTTCTGTTTTTTAAAAAAATTTTTTTTATTGATTTCAGACAGAGGGAGTGATAGAAACATCAAAGATGAGAATCATTAATCAGCTGCCTCCTTTACACCCCCTACTGGGGATCAAGCCCCCAATCCAGGCATGTGACCTTCTGGTTTATGGGTTGATGCTCAACCACTGAGCCACACTGGCCACGGGCATTTTTTTTTTTAAGTACTGCTTTCTAGCACCTGTATCCTTCCACTCTTGTCTTCTGCTTCTCTGACCCAAGAACCTGGGGCTGATTTCTAGGTCACTAAGTCCGGGAACTGGATGAATGTCCCTGAAGGGTCGACCACCACCGTGATCCTTGGGGTAACCTCCTCAGTGCCCTCCTTGCCGCTCCCCAACATCCTCCTGATGGCCAACGTCACCTGGCCCCAGGGTCAGTTTTCCACCCACAACACACCTGGCTGTGCTCCTGTCATCACCCTCAGCAGGTAAAGAAAGGCCTCAGGGAGGGGCCGGAGCGGGTGGGAGGACAGACGGCACTGTCTTGCAATTGGGCTGTAGGTAAAAAGAAAGGACAGTGTTCTTTAGTGTACAAACTGTGCAGAACCTCATTCATTCATTTAACAGGTGTTATTGCGTATCTATACAGACCAAGCACCGTGTTTGGAGCTGTGGGTAGAGTATCAGTCTGTCTCAGCCTAGTTTTTGAGGATTTTGGCTTTCATTTTGTCAATAAAAACGTAGGAGGGTTTTTTAAAAAAAATGAGGTGCATGAAAGACAAATGGGATTAAGAGATGTTGAGATGGAAAAAAATAATACGGGGTGTACAGAAGACACCCTTCCTACTCTTTCGACAGAGTTAATCAGGATACAGGGCAAAGGAGACCTGGGAATGGAGTCAGAATATTTTAGTCCCAGTTTCTACGTAAGATCTAAGTGGAATAAAATTAAATAAATGTTTTTGTAAAAAAAAGATTAAACTTGGGCAGCCCTGGCCAGGTAGCAGTTGGTTAGAGCATCATCCTGATATGTCCCCAAGGTTGCAGGTTTGATTCCCAGTCAGGACACATACAAGAAGCAACCAATTGCTCTGGCCAATATGACTCAGCTGCCAGAGTGTTGGCCTGGGAAGAGGGTCTCGAGTTTGAATCTCTGGGTTGCGTATGAGGGAGGCAACCAATCAATGTGTCTTTCTCACATCGATATTTCTCTTTCTCCCTCCCTCTCTCTCACTTCCTCTTTCCCTTCCACTCTCTCTGGAAATCAATGGAAAAAATATCCTCTGGTGAGGATTAACCAAAAAAAAAAAAAAAAGCAACCAATAGCAACCAATGGCATACATAAATAAGTAGAACAACAAACTGATGTTTCTCCTTTCCTCTCTCTCTCTAGAAATCAATAAATTTTAAAAATATCTAAATATCATGGGAAAATCACTTAGCTTCTTTCTCTAAGTCTCAGATTCAAAAAAATCTGTAAAATGGAATTAATAATACTTACCTTTTCTTCATCAAGGGTTGTTGTGAGGATTAGAAGAGGTAGTCTACATCAGTTATCAGTCTTTGTTATTGATGTGGGCAGATTCTTTAATAACTAAGGCCCTGGACATCAGAAAGAGCCAGGCTTTGTAATCATCCCACTCTCATCCACCAGCCCTCTCCCTGTGCATTCCCCACGCAGAGGTGGGAGCCCAGGGAGGCTGAGCCAAGCTCTCGGTAGGCACCAGCATGACGGATTCAAATCCTGGGCTCCTGCACTATGGCAATTTCCTGCTTGTGTCCAGGATTCTCCCCCTGAAGTTTGTGGAGCTACAAATCTGTGACCGGCTCCAGCGCATCCTGCGGATTAGGACAGTGACTGAGAAGATCTACTACATGAAGCTCCACGAAAAACACCCGGAGACCGTGTTTCAGTTCTGGATCCGCTTGGTGAAAATTCTGCAGAAAGGTCTGTCCATCACCACGAAAGACCCGAGAATCCAGTTCACTCACTGCCTGGTGCCCAAGAGGCCCTGCAGCTCCACTGAAACAACAGTAAGTGGGGCCCTGCCGCCAAGCTCTCTCGGGAGGGGAGGAGGGGGCCTGGAGGCTACTGCCTCCCCTTGGAGGGTGTTGAATATTACAGTCTAGTGTCCTGGGGGAAGAAGAAGACCATTTTCAAGGGTCAGTGATATGCACACACCAATTACAGCACATTAATTTAGTTTTCCTAAGAAAGAGCTATAAGGTACTTAACGCAAAAGTGTTTTCAGTTTTTTTGTTCATTTTTTTCAGTATCATAAAGGAATAATGCTCACTTAAGAAAATTACAGAAAAATCATTCCCGTTTTTCTTCATCCCCCTCCCCCCCCCCCCCCCCAACCAATCACTTGGAAAATTTGGCATATTTCCTTCTAGTCTTTCATTTTTAATTAAATTTTAATTCATGTATTTGAGGACATTAAATATATATATATATATATATATATTTGGATGTTGCTTTTTTTCAATTTAGATTATATCATAAACATCTTTTTCCATTAAATTTTTTTTCAATTATAGATAACTTTTTTTTAATCTTTAATTTCTTTATTGGTTAAGGTATTACAAATGTGTCCTCATCTCCCCATTAACTCCCAACCTCCCCCCCCCATAGATAACATTTAATATTGTATTAGTTTCAGGTGTACAGTATAGTGGTTAGACGTTTATATAACTTATGAAGTGCTCCCCCTGATAAGTCTGGTACCTACCTGGCACCATACATACTTATTATGATATTATTGAATATATTTTCTGTGCTGTACTTTACATCCTCGTGACTATTTTGTAACTGCCAATTTGTACTTCACCATGTTACCCAATCCCTTAACCCCCCTCCCATCTGGCAACCATCAGTTTGTTCTCTGTGTCTATGAGTTTGTTTCTGTTTTGATTGTTTGTTGATGTTGTTTTTTAGATTCCATATATAAATGACATCATATGGTATTTGTCTTTCTCTGTCTCACTTATTTCACTTAGCATAATACCCTCTAGGACAGCGGTTCTCAACCTGTGGGTCGCGACCATCAGAAAACATATAGCATATCAGATATTTACATTACAATTCATAACAGTAGCAAAATTACAGTTATGAAGTAGCAACAAAAATAATTTTATGGTTGGGGGTCACCACAACATGAGGAACTGTATTAAAGGGTCGTGGCATTAGGAAGGTTGAGAACCACTGCTCTAGGACCATCCATGTTGTAGCAAATAGTAAAATTCATTCTTTTTATGGCCAAGTAATATTTCATTGCATACATGCACCACATCTTCTTTATCCAATCATCTAATTATGAACACTTAGGTTGTTTCCATAGCTTGGCTATTGCATCTATTGCATCTATGAAATGTCTGTCCTTTGTCTCTTGTTATAGTTTTTTTTTTTTAAAAAATATGTTTTTATTGGTTTCAGAAAGGAAGGAAGAAGCAGAGAGATAGAAACATCAATGATGAGAGAGAATCATTGATTGGCTACCTCCTGCACACCCCACACTGGGGGGTCAAGCCTGAAACCCGGGCATATGCCCTGATGGGGATTCGAACTGTGACCTCCTGGTTCATAGGTTGATGCTCAACCACTGAGCCATGCTAGCTGGGCATAGTTTTTGTTTTAAAGTCTATTTTGTCTGATATATTGCTACCACAGATTTTTTTTTCCCATTTTCATGAAATATCTTTTTCTATCTCTTTATTTTCAGTCTGTGTGTGTCTTTCGATCTGAAGTGGGTCTCTTGTAGATAGCATATGCATAGATCTTGTTCTCCACCCTATGTCTTTTGACTGAAGCATTCAATCCATTTACATTTAAAGTAATTGTTGAGAGGTATGTAGTTATTGCCATTTTATTATTCATGTGGGTGGGGTTTTTTTCTTTGTTTGTTTTTTGGTTTATTTTTTTCTTCTTCTTAAAGAAGTCCCTTTAACATTTCTTGGAATACTGATTTGGTGGTGATTAACTCCTTTAGCTTTTTCTTGTCTACGATCCATTTCTTTTAAAAGCTCTTTGTAGCCCTGGCTGGGTAGCTCAGTTGGTTAGAGCTTGGTCCTGATGCAACAAGGTTGTGTGTTCAATCTCTGCTCAGGACACAAAGAAACAACCAACTAATGCATAAATAAGTGGAACAACAAATCAATGTTTTTCTCTCTCTCCCTTCCTCTCTCTCTAAAATCAATAAATAAATTTTAAAAGCTCTTCTTATACATCATTTTGATAATTTCATACTCTTCAATTATATGAATGAATTAAAATTTACTTCATTCCCCTAAAATCAGACATTTATTTGTTGATTTATTTAATTTAAAATATGTTTTTATTGATATTAGAGAGAGAGGAAGGGAGAGGGTGAGAGAGAGAGAAACATTGATGAGAGAGAAACATTGATTGGCTGCCTCATGCACGCCTCCTACTGGGGATCAAGCCTGCAACCGGGGCATGTGCCCTGACCTGGAATTGGACCAGTGATCTCTTGGTTCCTGAGTCAATGCTCAACCACTGAGCCACTCCGGCCGGGCTAAAATCTGATATTTAGAGTCGTTTCTAACTTTTCATCAGGGGTGGAGAACCTTCTTTCTGTCAAGGGCCATTTGGATATTTATAGCATCATTTGAGGGCCATACAAAATTATCAACTTAAAAATTAGCCTGCTATATTTGGTCAAACATTTAATTAATTCACCCCTAATGCCTTGGCAGGGCCAGACCAAATGATTTCAAGGGCCTTATATGGCTCATGGGCCATACATTCTCTACCGCTGTATGGTAACACAGGCATTTATAGGTATTGTCCACAGTTTTTATTGTTTTCTCAGAATAGATTTTTAGAAGTAGAATTCAAGGGGAGGATGGGAACAGGTGAGGAGAGGTCAATGGGGAAAAGGGGATTCATATGTAATACTTTAAACAATAAAGAATCTAAAAAATAAAAAAGAGACTAAAAAAAGAAGTAGAATTCCAAGAAGTAGTATGAACATTTTTAAGGTTTTTGATACATATTGCCAGATTATTTCCAGAAAGTTCATACTAAATTATACTCTCACCAATAATATAAGAGTTCTGTATCACTGTGTTCTTACCACAACTGAGAATTAAAATTTTTTTCTAATAATTATAGGTTAAAGTAGCATGTGTTTGAACATTATTATTATTATTATTATTATTATTATTATTATTATTTTATGGCCATTTTCCTATTGGCATCCTTGTGTTTTTCTAAATTGATTTGTAAATGAAAGCTTTTTATACATCAAGAATTTTAAACCTTTAATCACAAGTTTTTGCAATACCTTCCCTCAAGGATTTGTTTTCCCTTTTAGTTTATTTAAGGCCCCCTCTCTACCCCCCCCCCACCCCCCCAACGCGCAGAAGGCTTTCTCGGGACCTGCTTAAGGTAGAAGCACAGGAAGAAAGGCCTAAAACCTTCAGATTTCCGGCTCCTAAACACTTTCCTCCTTTCGTTTAAGTTGTGTGCTTTAGGTACGCCATCACCGACTTCAAAAGTCAGCTTTTATAGTTCTACTGCTCTGGTTCCTAATGTTCACATCTGGTGCTCCGGGCAGAGTTGCCACAGCGGCCCATCAGAGAGAGGAGGTGGTCCTGCATGGGGCCTCATTGCTTTTGTCTCGTGATTCTGGGGCTTAATATTTAAGGAACAGGTTCCCAGGACTCGGCTGGAAGACTCAAGTGAGTTCCTTCAAGGTTCTGGCCGGAGGAGGCCAAGAACGGTGAGGGGGAGACCTGATCCTCTAACTGTAAATTTCTCCATCCAGCCTGAAAGCAGCCTCCTGTCATCCTCCCAGCCCAGCGAAAACTTCTTGCTGTGGAAAGCCGAGCAGACTAGCGACATTTTCTCACACTTCCCAGGAAGAGTCCATCTCACAGAAGACAGGTGGGTCCTCCATGCAGGCAGCTCCAGCACCCTCCCCACAGCATACAGCCATGGGCGGGGTCAGTGACACCTTCTGCCAATCTATCGCAGCCCTTTTATTTTTCCCTCTAGAGCAGCGGTTCTCAACCTGTGGGTCGCGACCCCTTTGGGGGTCAAACGACCCTTTCACAGGGGTCGCCTAAGACCATCGGAAAACACATATATAATTACATATTGTTTTTCTGATTAATCACTATGCTTTAATTATGTTCAATTTGTAACAATGAAATTGGGGGTCACCACAACATGAGGAACTGTATTAAAGGGTCGCAGCATTAGGAAGGTTGAGAACCACTGCTCTAGAGAGTTATGCGTGTGGCTTTCCTCTTCATGTTATTGTACGCCTGTCCTTGAAAACAGGGCCTGTGGCTGATGGATCTGAATATTCTAGGCAAACCCCAGTGCTTTCTTTTTTAATATTTTTTTTTATTAATTTCAGAGAGGAAGGGAGAAGGAGAGGGAGAGAGAGATAGAAACATCAATGATGAAAATCACTGATGGGCTGCCTTCTGCACGCCCCTTACTGGGGATCGATTGCCCTTGACGGGAATCGAACTCGGGACCCTTCAGTCCACAGGCTGATGCTCTATCCACTGAGCAAAACTGACTAGGGCAAATCCCAGTGTTTTCATATGGAAGGCGTTCAGTAGAGGAATGAGGGTAAGCTAATAAAGCAAGTTTATGGAGTTGGATATTGACTGTCTACATTCCCAACTCAAAAGGGTCCCTTGGATAAAACAATCCTGAGTTCTCTCTGCCTTCTCTATCTCTTCTGTGAAATAGAAGAGAGTAACCCAGAGGGGAGACCACTGCTGGCTCCCAAGTTTTACTAAGTTACTAAGTAAGTGTAGTAGATTCTTTCTGTAATGAGTGATAGAAACCCAAAGCAAGACTGTGCAGCCAGTATGTTGAACAAGTTCAACTTTTGAGTATCATATAAATGCAAATTTATTTTTGTCTTCCTTTATAATTTTTTTTAGTGGGTGAAATTTTCCTCTTTCCTGAGTAAACGCTGGTTCTCTGGGCAGGCCCCATAGCATGTGGACTCCCTCTTAGAATACGAAAGGGCCTTTGGTCCCTTTAAGTAGCAAAAGCAGCATCGATTCTGAAATTAAAAAGTCCAGTGCCTAAAAACTATCAAAACTCTGAACTGATTGCATCTCTCTTCCCTCAGCCTGGCCCCCTGTTAAGATGGCCCCTCAGAGTCGCTCTTCTCCTTCTGTTTCCTAATTTTAAGCTGACTTGTTCTCTTAGGCACTTTCTTGGGTTCTTTGAAGTCCCCTACCTGGCTCCCCTGACTGCAACTCTGGTGATGCTGTGAGACCTTCCTTTCGCCTGGCCACTGCCCCTCTCTGGCACTGGCACTGCAGGGGTCTGTGCTACCCAGGAACTAGCGGTCAGCGTCCCTCATCCCTTAAGGGACTCTGTTTGGGTAGGGTTTACAGTGGCTCCAGGCTGGTGTTCTCTCTCTCTCTCTCTCTCTCTCTCTCTCTCTCTCTCTCTCTCTCATGCTGTCTGCATCTGGTCCTCAATAATATCCTCCCAGAATTTGACTGGCCATTGGAGAGGAGGACGGTGCCTCTAGGGACACAGAAGCAACTTCACTTCACCACCAAAGAAACCCATTCTCCCATCTCTCCCACCCTCCGTCTTTTGTGCCCCCATCTCTACTGGGTCTCCCGGCCCCCAAAGGGTCGCAGCAGAAGGTCCCAGGCAGCCCCTCTCTTTCATCTCGAGGGGCAAGAGGCAGCAACTCATACAAAGGACTCTCCGTGCATCCTTTCTCTGAATGCTTTCCTGACTCACTCTGGGTTAGTGGAGGCTGTGCTCACCCAATTCTCCCAGGTCACAGTCTGCCTTTATCTGGACTTTCCAGACCTTCTTTTTTTTTTTCATTCTTTCTAATTTCAAGACGGTTTTCTTGAATTGTAAACCTTTCTTCTTTGAGTACTCTTATTATTTGTATGTTGGATTATCTTTGTCATATATATATATATATATATATATATATATATATATATATCTCCCCTTTTCTTTCTTTTTTATTCTTTAAACTCCTCCCTACCCCTCTATTTCTCTTAAGGCATTATGTGCTTTGCTTGTTTGCTCTTGTGTTCTTTTTTTTTTTTTTTAATATATTTTATTGATTTTTTACAGAGAGGAAGGGAGAGAGATAGAGAGTTAGAAACATCAATGAGAGAGAAACATCGATCAGCTGCCTCCTGCACATCTCCTACTGGGGATGTGCCCGCAACCCAGGTACATGCCCTTGACCGGAATCGAACCTGGGACCTTTCAGTCCGCAGGCCGACGCTCTATCCACTGAGCCAAACCGGTTTCGGCTCTTGTGTTCTTTTATAAGTTTTCTCTCTTGGCCGCCACTAGCACGGCTAGAGAGTGGACGAGTCCTGAGTAGGGGCGGCTGGGGATTGGGAAAAGGAAAAAAAAAGAGAGACAGACACAAAGACTTTAAGTAAAGCTGGGGCCAGGTGGGACGCTGTCCTCAGATGGAGCGACAGTGGCCCAGAGCTAGTGCAGCACGTTTATTACATACAGCATGATACCAGGAAGTTTTACTAGAGTTTAAGACAAAGGAAATTATGTGAAATCATGGTTAAAGATCAAGCTGTAATTCTTCATTCTTGTGGCTTCTTTGTAATTGTCACTCCTGGCTGAGCCCGGATAATTGTGTCTGTTCCTGCTGAACTTAGATAATGAAACCCACCCCCTGGCACCTGAGCTAAAGGTCAGGCTGACAACATACCTGCCTCTGGCAAGGTATGTTTCCAGGACGTGGCTCTGCCTACGCCACTGGATTCAGCCAACAACCAGCTCATGTGCCTTCCCAGGCGCTCGCTACATTCTTTATTGCTTTGTTTTGGAAATAATGGTTCTTTCTTTTAAAATGTCTAATTGTTTTCTCAGTTTTATCACTTCATTTATCAATATTTTAAATTCTGACTTATGTTGTTCTTTTATGTAGTCTATCATTTTCTTAATTTCTTTTAGCTCATTTTGAAATGCTAGGTTGCAGTTTGCATTCATTTTGCGCTACATCTTTTTTTGTTGTTGTTAATCCTCCTTGGATCCATGACTTTATTTTATTTATTTATTTATTTTTAAAGAAGGCAAAAATTATTTTATTAATAAAATATATAATCCAAAATTGACATTGTAGTCATAAATAGCCAAATACTAGTTTCAGAAAAAAATTATGCAAAAATGTAAAACATAAAAGAAAACAATAACACTGCATCAAACACTTTTAACACATTGCACATAATTTTGCATCCATTGATTTTAGACAGAGTGGAAGAGAGAGGGAGAGACATAGAGAAACATCAATGTGAGAGAGACACAGTGATTGGTTGCTTCCTGCACATGCCCCCACCAAGACCTAGGATCGAGCCTGCAACTGAGGTACATGCCCTTGACCAGAATTGAACCCAGGATCCTTCAGTCCAAGGGCCAATGCTCTAACCACTGAGCTAAACCTGCTAGGACATGCAGCACATCTTTTTAGTGTGCTTTTATTGTCTTCAAGGATTTATTATGCTTTGCATCTTTTCTTATATGATTTTGTGTGGGTTTTGATTATGATCCTTTTCTGATGCAATTTATTTTTATGTGAAATGGTTTTTCTCAACCTCTGAGAATGATAGCTGGGTCACGGTGGCTTTCTGGTTTTGGCTCGAGTGCTTCCTCTTGTGTCATTTTTGTGAAGCATTAATGACCTTTGGGGACTGTGCTCCTCTCTCTTATCTTTAGCTGATCCTGCCCTTTCCTTTGGCTCTTCTGTTCCTGTTCTACTCAATTTGTATTCCATTTCCGTTGGTTTTCCCCTACTATGAGGCTGTGCCCTGCCAGGGAGAGTATTCTGATGGTTCTGAGAGTTGGTAAGGCACACCCTGCTTCCGCCCTTGAGGCTTTACCATGGAAGGACTCCAGTTTCTACTTCCAGTTTTCTTCTTCTCTAATTCGCCTGCTGCACTTTCCACTGAGAATCTGGGGCGATTTAGGGGCTCTCCTGTTTTCAAGTCCCTCCGATGCCTCATTGCCTCTCTGCTTCCTCTCACACAGACCCCGAAGCCATGTGGGTCTTGTGGCCTCTGTAGCTGTCATTTTCTTTGTGAGTTTATCTCAAACAGGCCATTATCTGTGGGACTCATGTTGCTGAATTGGGAATGGGGGGAGAACCATTGTAAGCTTGCTTCTGCCAGGTACCTCAGAGATCTGACTGACCCGGGAGACATTTTTTATATTAGTTTCTCCGCTTGGGAGTTGTTGGACCACGTGTCAGACTGAAAATGAAGACAGGCCCAAAGATAAGAATTTTCAGAAGAGGCTTCTTTTTGACCCAGAATCCAGATTGAGATAGATAAGTTTATGGCACTGATGGGTTTCTTTCTGGTGTGCCCTTTTGCTGAGAAGCTGCTTTGAAAGTCCTGGATTTATGCCGATACCTCAGTAAACCCCCCACCTGGCTAGGACCGAGGATTTATCTCCTGTGTCTCCACGCCCTGGTTACCAAGACTGGCAAGTCCCTCGGGCAGCCCTAGCTTCAGCTCACATTGGGCTTGTCTATAATTTTTGTCCCTTGGGATTTTTCTTTACTTTCTTGTGAGTTCAACATTTAAAATTATGTTAATGATATTTTATCTACATTTCTAGGTGTTTTGTGGCAAAGAGGTGGGGTTTTTTTAGATTATTCAACCACATTGCCAGTCTCTAGCAAAGTAACTCTAGAATTATTTTCACCTAAAAAAACAAAATCTCACTGCATTTATCTCTGAAGAGTTACAGTGTGGGGGATTTTTATTTTGTTTTGGTGCTTTATTATAGTTTTTATATTTTTCATTTAATATAAGTATGCATTGCCTTTGGAATCAAAATTTTAACCACACTGTGTGTTTTTCTAGACACCTAAGTGGTTGTGATTTTTAAAAATATGTATTTGTGTTGATTTCAGAGAGGAAGGGAGAGGGAGAGAGAGATAGAAACATCCATGATGAGAGAGAATCATTGACCCCTGCACGCCCCACACTGGGGATAGAGCCTGCAACCCGGGCATATGGCCTGACCTGGAATCAAACCGTGACCTCCTGGTCCATAGGTCGATGCTCAACCACCGAGCCATGCCAGCCTGCCGGTTGTGAGTTTTTTAAGTTGTCAGTGTTTTGGAGAACTGTCTGAGGTTTTCTTTGCACTCACGCTGACTCCAGGCAGGTTATAGTAGGCTCCAGGCAGATCCCAGTAGGCTCCGGTTTTGCCTTTGAACCATAACACATTAGGTTCTCAACACATCCAAGCAGCGCCAAAGGCTCGGAGGGGTGTCTGTTCCACGTCAGCAGAGCAGCCTTAGCTCCAGCCTCCCTCCTGCTTGGCTTCCTCCACTCAAGTCCTTCTTAGCTGCATCATCCCATCTCTACGTGTTTTCACTGCCCATCATTTCCATAGTCACATCTGTGTTCAAGCCGCTCATGCTGGAAAGACATAACTAAAAAGCAGTTTTTATAATTAAACTCTTAACAATGCTTTCTTTTTCTTCTATTGTTTTCAATGGCCCCAAACTTCCTGGGTTCCAACAGAAAACAGGCCACTAAAATCAAGGATTGCAAGAGCGACAGGAGGACACCCTTGCCGGCGGCATCTTCAGCCAATATGATTGTGCCTATGAGAGCCATTTTGGGCCACAGCCTCTGGGAACAAGAGAATCCGGACGAGTGCTTACCACAGGCTCCTGTAGCCAGTTCCCTAGGAGAGAACTTACTGGGACCCTGACACCTACCCAAACGGGTGATCTTCCTGGCTTTAGTCAGCGCACTGGCTACAGCCTCCCATCCTGCTGTTTTCCCACCGTGGGCCAATGACCATGGGAGAAGTAAGATGGTGTTTAAAACAAGGTGCTCCTATACTTCCACCAATAAACCTCCAAGTGGGCCCCTAATTGTTGTGGGTTGTGCTATGGCCGGGGCCGGGTGGGGGGAGGGAGGGGGAGGGTTTGCAGGGAAGGACTGATTGGGAGCAAGAGCTCACTCTGTGGGAAAACAAGTGGGGAAAAGTTCCTTCTGCTCAATTAAAATCCCACAGCAGTTGAGCAAAGTCAAGAAAGCCAGTCCAGAGGAAATGGCCAGGCGAGATATCCAACTTTCTCTTTCAAAGGGAGAGGGGACAACAGGCAGCGCTGCTCCAAGTCCAAAGTGAAAGAAATCCTCAGCCCTGGCCCATGTTGCTAAGTGGTTAGAGCATCGAAGGGTTGCAGGGGTTTTGTTTTGTTTTGTTTTAATCCTCACATGAGGATATTTTTCCATTGATTTTTAAAGAGAGTGGAAGAGAGAGAAAGACAGAGAGAAATATCCATATGAGAGAAACACATTGATTAGTTGTCTCTGGATGCACCCCCACCAGGATCCAGGCTAGGGTAGAGCCTGCAACCGAGGTACGTGCCCTTGACTTGAATCGAACCCGGGACCCTCTGGTCCATAGTTGGATGCTCTATCCACTGAGCCAAACCGGCTAGGACGATTGCAGGTTTGATTCCTGGTCAAGGGCATGTACCTGGGCTTCATGTTTGCTCCCCGCTCCTGGTCAGGCGCATACAGTAAGCAACCAATGTCTCTCACATCGATGTTTTTCTCTCTCTTCCCTCTCTCCCTTCCACTCTCTTTGAAAAACAGTGGAAAAATTATCCTCAGGTGAGGATTAACAAAAAAAAAGAAAGAAAGAAAGGAAAGAAATCCTCAGAATGATGGGAAATATCTTTGTGTTGCTCCACTCACTTAAGCAAGAAATTGAATTTTTACTGCCCCACTGTTAAGTTATGAAGGCTTACCCTGGGCCATGCAAACTTTGGTTGCTAAGGAAGACATGGCTTCAGGTAAGGAAGATGGTGACCACCCATCTCTGGGAGTCCTATTGGCAAACTGGAAAACACAGTGTCGGTGCACATCAGGGATAGGGCAGGGGCTTGGGCCAACCTCTAGACCAGTGATGGCGAACCTTTTGAGCTCGGCGTGTCAGCATTTTGAAAAACCCTAACGTAACTCTGGTGCCGTGTCACATATAGAAATTTTTTGATATTTGCAACCATAGTAAAACAAAGACTTATATTTTTGATATTTATTTTATATATTTAAATGCCATTTAACAAAGAAAAATCAACCAAAAAAATGAGTTCGCGTGTCACCTCTGACACACGTGTCATAGGTTCGCCATCACTGCTCTAGACAAACGGGGAATATTTACCTGAAAAATACTACCACCACATTGAGCATGCATTTCTAAAGTTCCTACTAGGTACCAGACACTGCACTGGATGCCTGGTATAGTAGAGAGAACAAAACAGATGGACAAGTGTCCTGCCGTTAGGGAGTGTAGGGGAGAGATATCAAGCTCTAGTTTGGAGACACAGGAAGGCCATGAAGGTTGACATTAAGGTTGAGCCATTCAGCCTGCAGATCAAGGTGGACTTGCTTTGCTAAGGTTCACACTGTAGGAAAGAGAGTGATGGAGGGAGAGGGAACATGACTGCCCTGCCCCCCTGTGCATTCTCAGTTGGGCTGAGTAGTAGATCCTGGCTAGATTGGGTCAGAAAAAAACACTGCAGCTGAGAGGGTTCCTAATGTGTGTGGGTTTCTTCCTGCTTCTAATAAAAATAAAAACAAAACAAAAAATTGTTTGCATGTTACAGTCAAATAAGCTGGGCATTGTTGGTGCTGGTGAGAGACACCCAGAAGCTGAACTTAGAAGAGGCTAATGGTTTCCAGGGGGGTTTGGCCAGTGACATGTCCAGATAGGAGGTCAGAGGGAGAGGGAAACATGGGGCCCAGACTATTATTCTCTCCCTTGTAGTCGCACGAGGCTGGCTGTGGCCCTTAACAGAAGAAAACTGCTCCTCTTGAGGTAACCTCTTCCAGTCAACTCTCTCTTTCCTAGTTCCACTAACCATGCCCTTCTGCTGCCCTTCAGGGTCCTAGCCTGCATCTTGGGGAGCCAAGGGATTCACTAATAACCTTTCAGTACCACCGGTCATAAGGGCCCTCAGCTTCAGTAAGGATCCTGTCAGGTCACGTTAGCCAGAATCCCCCTTACCCCTGATGTTTTCTCTTAGTCATTTTCCATCCACTGCCCTCCACTTGGCTTTTTAGCTAGAAATTCCCACTGTCCATGCTGTGACTGGAGTTGAGCCCAATCTCTCTCCCTTAGTGCAAAGTTTCACCACATCTATATCTATAGTGACAATGAAGCCTTCCTTACTGTGCTTAAAAAAAAAAAATTCCACAAGGGGCCTATCTTGAGAAATCCAAGACTATGGTTTCAAAAGAGGGAAACAACCACAGGGGGTGGTAAAGATTCACAAAACAAGCATTGAAAATGAACACTTAGAAATATTAAGGCTAAGGCCATTTACAGAAGATATAACTTGAAACAACCAGACTTACGAGTATAACAGTCTAGGGATATTCTGAGAGGGGGCAATTCTGATTTTTACTCTATCTCTGATTCCTGCCTGACTTAGGGCAAATCAATTAATTTGCCCATTGAGATATGGATTTTAAATTAAAACATCACTTAAGCCCTAGCGTTGGCCTATGGACTGAAGGGCCCCGGGTTCAACTCCGGTCAAGGGCACATGCCCAGGTTGTGGGCTCAATCCCCAGTAGGGGGCGTGCAGGAAGCAGCCGATCAGTGATTCTCTCTCATCATTGATGTTTCTATCTCTCCCTCTCCCTTCCTCTCTGAAATCAATAAAAATATATTTAAAAACAAACGAAAAAAATCACTTAAATTTTAATTATCCCCAAACAAAACACTGTTTTTGAATGTTAATTGTTGCAATCATAACTGCATCCTTGCCCTCACTGCCATTAAAGGGCCATAACTAGATGCAAGAAGAATGTGGCCACTAGTAGTAATGGATTGGCACACACACATACTCAGGACATGCCATTTGTAAATGCTTTGCATTTTAAAAAGTGTCTTCACAACTACAATCTAATGTGATTCTCATAATTGTGTGAGATAGTTGCTATTATGAACTACTAGAGGCCCAGTGCACAAAATCGTGCACAGGTGGGGTTCGGACAGCCTGCCCTAATGGGGGCCGATCGGGCCAGGCCGACAGAGGGGAGGGGACACAGGAGGTTGGCTGGCTGGCCCTGCCACCCCTCAGAGTGTTGGGGGCCAATTGGGGTCTGGCCAGAGGGAGGGCCCATGGGAGATTGGCTGGCCGGCCCACTCCTGATCCAGCTGGGGGTGGCTGGGGGGAGGGGCTGCCCCCAGATCGGGCCGGTTGGCCGGCAGCAGTGCGGGTCATTAGTGACCAGTTGTTCTGGTCGTTCTGATTGTTCAGGAGTTGCTTGGCTTTTATATATATAAATACTTCTGTGGACCCTGAGAAAGAAGATACCTATTAAAAAGGGCTCCTGATGGCTAAAATTAAAGACAACAACAATAACTCAGAGCCTAGCAGCCATTGCTACACAGGGGCCTCTTATGGAAACTGCAATTCAGGGAGAAGCCTATACTGAATTGCCTGCCTGCACTGTTCCTGGCATCTGAGTCAGCCCTTATATATACATATTATTTTTTAATCCTCACCCAAGGATATGTTTTTATTGTTTTTTTGTTTTGTTTTGTTTTTAGAGAGAGAGAGGTAAGGAGAAATGAACATTGATGTGAGAGAAACATTTATCTGTTGCCTCCCAAAACCTGACCAGGGATTGAACCCAAAACCTAAGCATGTGCCCTGACCGGGAATCAAACCAGCAACCTTTTTCTGGTGTATGTGACCATGTTCTAACCAACTGAGCCATCTGGCCAGGGCATGAGGCAGCCATTATAAAGGAGTTCTTGGAATCCTATTTCAACCAATAGGACTGAGGCTTTCCCCATCCAGTTGGAGCTGCACAGCTATAACCCATCAACATTTCCACCAACCAATCAGGGCAGCTCCATTCTGACCAATTAAGATGGTGCCTTTGGACCAATCAAACTGTGAGGATTTGGAATCATCATTTGCATGAGGACAGACCAATCAGGGATCAGAGGAGGGGACTTCTGTCTATGTAAGTCAGCTCCCTTCTGACTCTGAAAATGCACCTAAGACTGCGGATCCTAACAGGAGCTGCAACACCAAAGATATCTCACCAGAGCAGAGCAGAGCAGCACAGCTGGAGGGGCCTGGCCCCAGGGCTGCCTCACAGCCATGCTGTGTCACAGTTGAGCTGTTCCACAGCTGTGATGTATCACAATTGAGCTGTTTTGCACTGAATAAAGTTTCCTCTTCACCACACCCCAAATTGGGGATTCCTGTTGGTGTTGAATTGGCGTCCACAACCATCTCTTGATCCCTACCTCACAGATGAGAAAAGCAAAGCCCAGAACTTCCTAGCATGAGCTTTGGGCTGCTGGTAGGTAATTCTCAAAGTCCAGAGGGCAGTAGGGTAATGCCATCTGGGCCTCTTCTCAGAGAGGTAGTCCACATCATGTCCATTCCTGTCAGCCCTCAACACAGAGGGGTAGTCCACATCATGTCCATTCCTGTCAGCCCTCAACACTGACCTTTTGGTTGCAGGCTCAGCCCAGTCTAATTGGTAGGCCAAGGGGCCACAGCAGCTTCCAGACTGAATTCTTTCACACACCTGTGTAAGCAGAGCAGACAACTGCCACCAGGTGGCGCCACATTGCAATTGGGACTTGAATGGGTTGAATTTGCATCTCCTACCCCCATAGCTGAGCAAGCTAACCCCAGGGATTTTAACTCTATAATAACACCATCC